TAGTGGTAGCAGCAGCAGCACCAGCAGCAGCAGCAGCTCCACCACTACTAGTACTACTCGTACTAGTACTAGTACCAGGACTAGTGCTAGTGTGACGGCGACGACGACAACTACTGCGACTGCGACTGCGACTACGACGACTACAGCTACGACTGCGACTTCGAATACGAGTACGAGTACTTAGCCGCCTGCTGCTGCTGCCGCTGGTGCTGGTGCTGGTCTGCTGCTGGTACGACTGCGACTGCGAATACGGGTAAGACGTGATGATGAACAAGAAGATTACATGATGACCGCGATGATGATGATGATGATGATGGCGGTGATGGTTGCAACGATGCTGATGATGGCCGTGATGGCCATTATCATCATCACCATCACCATCACTTTCACTTTCACCATCACCACCACCATCACCACCATCACCATCATCACCATCATCATCATCATCATCACACTGTCTGCATCGTCATCGTCTTCGTCATGGTCTTGGTCGTCTTCATCTCTCCACCACCATCAATACTATCTTCTTCAATCAGCATCATGCGCTCGGTCCACACCTCCTCCAAAGAACCTGTCTGCACGGATGTTGGAAGGCCAGAACCTGGAAGTCTTGGCCCGCAGCTTCTCGAAGATGTCCCTTCAGTCCACGGCACGGGTGACGGCCCCCGTGGTCGGGAGCCCATCTCAACATTGACTTCGGGCCATAAACGAGTTCCCATTGTCGGTCGGACAGCCATTCTGATTAGGTATCAGAGGTAGTGGCCTAGACCTGGTGTAAGTATCTTCAGGAGCATGTAGTGTGTTCGTGTGTCCCGTCTTTACGTCGTTTTGCCGATATGGGATTTCTGTCTTGAGCTGATGTGTTCAGGGCGCAGGATAGCTTCGGCCTTCGGGTGCAGCTTAGATTTCTCTTTGTAGCTTTCTGCAATGGTGAGCACGTCGCCGTGCTTGTTTGATCAGTATGATAATGTGAAGACCACCACCCTGATCGAATAACCTTTATTTGCAGGCTAGACAGCTTGTTTGATCAGGGGTGGTGGTAGTGTTGTTCCCGCCTTTACAGGTCTGAAGGCAGGGTGTCAAGGCTAGGGGCTTCACATTTCAAAGGCGTGTCATTGAGGGTTTCGATATCGCAAGTGGAAATCCTCTAGCTCAGGGGTGCAAAAATCCATGCATGTGTGGGTATGTTCTGCCGTTGAGCAACCAGGTGGGATGTTGAAAGTTGCATAGAACTGGGATGCCGAGGTGGCCGTTTCGTGCTTCCGTATGCCCTGAAAAGATTCGCTTCACTAGCAGCAACAAAGGATCGGGGTTGCTGCTGGGGGCTTTTTGCCCGGCTTGCTTCCAAGGCCCGGAGCCCAGCGCCGCCGACGACGAAGCCGGACGCAGGCCCACTCGGTTTTTCTATTTTTGGCTTTCTGTATGATGGGGCGTTCCAGGCATGCAGCTCTGCTCCGCCAGTCTTTCGGAACAGACGAGATTCCGTCCTAATCCTTTGCAGCGGTGGGTTGCTTAGCCCTTTCTGGCCTCCCTTCACACGGAGCTCACTGCGCCTCAAAGCATCCTTCTGCCGTGGCTCCAGAATTGGCCGCTGACTTGCCGCGGGGCAACTCGAAGGTCTCCTTGGCCTGGGAAGGCAGGGCGCTGCAAGGGGAGTTTTGTGCTCTGAGACGGCCGCTAGGCTTGGGAACTTCAAGAAGAGAGGTTTGCGGTTTGCATTCAAACATGTATGCGATGTGGCCAGGTGCTTTTGCCAGGTTGGATAGTGGGATAAGGGCTTGGAGGGCTCGCTGGGGGTCATCCGATAGTCACGTAGGCCTGGACGTTAGAGCTTTGCGCCTCGCAGACTCAAAACAAACCGTCAACGCTGGTTTGGGTAATTCAAAGAGCCATGGCACTCTCCATAGTGAAACTGCTCGCGGCGGCCCTCGCCCCCACCGCCGGCAACGCGGATCCTGATGGCGGATGAGCCTGCGAGCAAGCGCACAAAGCAGCCCATGCGTCCTGGCTGCTGGGGTCGCACCTACTGGAGCGCGGGCCTCCAGGTGCCCTACTACATAGACGTGATGTGGTGGATGTATCCTCCAGAACCCCCGACCGACCGCTGCATTCTTATAGAGACATACCAGGAATGCAACCAACATTATGTCTTCCACCAGGGTTACAACAAATTCGGCGCATGCCACTGATTCACGGATCCGTTGTTCAATACAACCATGTGTAGCGTCGACGGCGGGGTGAACATGGCCGCCCAAATGCAACCGGATGAGTGCGATCCAGACTTCATCGGGCAGGATATTCCTGGCGGGTACTACCAGTTCTACAAGGACGGGTGCATAGCAACGATGTGTGGCAGGCAAAAATGGATGGGGGTAAGTCCCTGGCCCCGACAGTATGGCATGTGGAAAATGTTTTGGGACCCAATGCCAAACATGTGGGGATGGGCTAAGGCCATTCAGCGCAAGTGCATAGTGCCGCCCGAGTGGACACGAGTTGTGTGGGTGGAAGAAATCTTTTACGACATGGTCTATGACGACGGCACCAACCTCAACTGGGACACAAGCAAGTGCCCAGAGCAAACTGAGTGGACAGACATCCGCCTCCCCTACAACCCTAAACCCAAACCCCTAAAGGTGCCTCGAGGCAACAACCCATTGCCTCGTTACTAGCGTCGCGAAAGCCAGCGCTGCATCATTCCGGGCCGAACTGCTTGAATTCCAAAAACCCAAAGAAAGTTTAGAGCTCATAGACTCTGCAAGTATGAGCGTACTCCTAGCCCCTGCTGCCGGAAGATAAGTTTGCCATGAAGTGCTCTCTCTGTCTTGGAAGCCTTCAGCCAGACTCCCCCAAAAAATCTCAAAGCCCTGAGGCCCAAAATCCCTTGGCAGTGCGGTTTTGCGGCCAGGCCTTGGCAGGTTTCGAATTAAAGGGTTTAGGGCTTAGGTTTTAGTTTGAAGATCCTTGGACGTTCGTGTGCTCCGGAGTTGTCTTGTGCCTCAGCCCTAACATTTCAGGATTCTGTCGCGTCGGCTCCATTCGCCTAGGGATCATAAGAAGTAGACTTCGAGGACACCGGCTAAAGCGGCTAAAGAAGGAACCTGATTGAGACACCCTTGCGTTTAGATCCATGCCACGTACTATCTTGGGATTCACCATGGGGATTCTATAAGAAGCAGTGTCTTTCTTTTCCTTACCTCAGCTGATCCCTGGGATCAGCATTCAGAAGTTTCAGGATCTAGGAATCTAGGTCTGCGAGATTCATCTCACAAACTTCGTCGATCCACCAGAGGGATGTCTTCATGGAGGAACTTATGCAAACGTGGAGTAGTAGTAGACGAGATCCAGTTGAAGACACTTCTTTCCTGTTCGTGAGATAAACAAGTTCCCTGTGCCCAAAACCTTCATGGTAGTGAACCGCAAGATTCACGAGATGTGCTAGAGTAGACGAACGACAAGTACGTAGTTCTGAGCTTGAAGCGATCAGTGACGAAGCTATCTCTGCAGAATTGGAATCCTCCCTACCACGGAGCGGTTCCAAGCTGAAGCTTCCGGTCCTAAGCTCAGCTTTCCTTGGCTTGAGCCTGAAGACGAGTGTAGACCGAGCACGCTTCGGGTGTAGGGTTGGGTATTTAGGGGTTCAGACACCGGTCTTGGTTCCGGGATTTATACGCGTGGATGTCTTTGCCGTTTACTCGAAACGCTCTTCGCTCGCGTGTGTGTGCGTGTGTGTGCGATGTGCTGATGCAGTTATCTCACTCCGCCTTAAGGATACGAGAAAACTCTACGTTGCAGTCGGTGTCTAGTGATGTGTCAACCCTGAAGAATTGACGGTAAGATGGAGTGTGCCAGCGGAGAATCAATGAGGCTGATAAAGACCCACCGATGAGGAAATATATACATAAAGGTTGAATGTCAAGAGCGGGTAGGGGTTACTTTCCCTAATCGGAGTTAGCGACTTTGGTGCTTCATCTTCACAGCATTTGGCCAACACCTACCGCTGCCGAATGAGGATGTGAGTGCGAAGAGGTCGAGTTCGAGGTCCATATCCCCAGGAGGCCTGTCAATGCTCTGCTTGTCCTATCTAGAGCTGAACTTGCAAGGAAGGGAGACCTAACCAAGAGGCGTTCATAGCAGCTTGCAAGCTCAGCCTTTGTCCGTAAAGCGTGCTTTTGTTGGGTTTGCATTGCCCGCATGGCTGCTGTACCGTTATCTCTGTGAAGACAACCGTCAGCAGAGAGTTCACAACTGTTAGATACATACGTTGGTTTGTCCCTTGTCTGACTGTGAAGACCGAAAGGTTTGATGATGTTTTCCGCTACTTGTAGCATCTAGTAGCTGCTTTGGCCGTGACGGAATTCCAGCCTTTTCGATCATGACTTACGCTGGAGTTACCCCGAACCCCTGTAGACATCGTAACGTTTGTCGAAGCCTATGCTGGAGCGCAACAAAGCACTCCCACTGCAACCTCTCTTTTTCCAGAGCACAAATATGTCTATACATCTGTTCCTAGTGCGGTTTATGAGTATAACTTATAACTGCAGCATAGTCACCGCTGGCTCTGGCACCCACTGCCAGGGCGCGAAACCCTCCGTGGCGGTTCGAAGATGTCTGTGCAGTCTGCATCAGGCCCTTGCGGGAATTCCCGGCGTTGAGGATGTGGGGATATTTAGGATTCAGGGTGTAGGGTTGTGGGTGGCCCTCACCATTGTAAGAACTCTCTTTCTTTTTTGCAGCATACCCAAGCAGAATCTCTGCTAGACTACGCCCTGTCTCCCCTCAGTCGCTTCTCCGGAGGCCCAGGTCCAGAATGGGTAGAACCGGCAATGCTCGGCCCTAAACCCCTTTCGAAGAATCGATTAACCGTTAACCCCGTCTGAAACCGTTGAAACCATACCATGACAGAGAACCCTGGCCTAGAGTGCAATTGTATGGGACCTCGACCCTGAACCCTTAAACCGACTGGATTCATGAACTTGGCCTTGTCGTGTAATACGCAACACAGGTTCTCTGTCAAACATTGGAGGAATCTTATTTATAATTCATAGCATTCTCCAGGTGCTAGGCCTTGTCTACCCCAGGAACCTTCCTTATAGGTGTGCTGATGGCAGGGTTCCGTTTCGTCAATCTCTTGCAGATCCATTCGCAGTTGATTCTGCTGAACATACTCGAGCAGATTAATTAAATTCAGAACTCAGAGCCTAGTCATCGTCCTAATACCGCTTGAGCTACTGTAGCCTTAACTGCTTGGCTCATCCACAATGATCGAATGCTCCAATACAGGGTTGATTGATCTAGAACGGCTCGTGGATTGTCGTCATCTTCAACTCTTCTTTTCCATGGTAACATCTTCGCTCTCTTGCTTCCTTCCATCTTCTTCCTGTCTTCCTTTCTTCCGTCTTGCCTTCCGTTTGTCATGACAAGCTAAGACATGCTATCACATGTCGTTCTTGGAGGGTGAGCGTCACATGAAGTACAGCTAACTTCAGGTACAAGAAGTCTCCGAACTTGTTACTAAACCATGGGTCCGCAACACCTACGGACCACCCCCCCTGAATCCCCATGAGTTTGGATCAATGTCATGAGTCCAGGGCTTCGTGACGGTTTGCATTCAGTTTCAGCGTTTTAGTGTTTTGCTCAATGCGAGCCGGTTGTGCTTGGGTCTTGCTCGTCCCTGCAGACGAAACACCAGTTTCAGAAAGCATACATACACCGATAGCATACAGCAGCAACTGCACAGTCGCGGTTGAAGTGCAGCCTTTGCATCGTGTCGAAGCGCTCAGGGCACGAGGTGCCGGCGTTGGCATCCTCTGCTTCAGGCAAAGGAGTTGTGGGCCATTCAGAAGCCTCAAGAACTGCTGGCATTGTTCATGTAGCTTCCTTTGCAATCACCACATGTCAAGTACAGTCTCTGCCCACATGAACTAGTATGCCTCTCCACTGTAGACTCCGAACATCTCCGAACTTGCAAGAGACCCACCGGTGTGGTGGGAGCGCGCTTTCGGCAGGCGGAAACGCGCAGACTGTGGTGAAACGATGCGCACCCCAAACAAGGCGCGGTACTGCGGCGGGAGCACGATTACCAACTATTCCAAAACCGCTTACGGAACCACCAACGACGGGAGCGCTTTTCAGCAAGTTCGGGAGAGTTCACGACGACTTTGGCCTACCGCGGGCGGACGCTGTGAGCGTCGAATCTCTGCACAGCGCTCGCGCAGATTCGCGCATTCAGCCACTCCCGCCCCTCACCCTGAGCTGCGCATGTCTGCTGCAGTCTCCGGCGGAGCTGTGCTACTAGGCACGTAGAGGCGAAACCAGGTTCATGTCCAGAGATGTCCGAAACACATTCGCAGCGCACCAAGTCGATACCTTTGCCAGAGGTCATGAGCTGCACGTTGCTCGCACCTTCTCGAAACTGTCTGTACACTCCGCAGGCGGCTGGGTACTTGCATGACAGAGACGCCTGTGCTTGGTGTATTTGCAGTTCAGGGCTTTGTTTTGGGGCTCGGCTCTGCTGCCGCTATTGTGATTCCCAACTATCCAGGGCTTCGGAAAAGGCAGCTGCTAGATCGCAGGGCGGGGGTTTGAACTTCAAGACCAACACCCCTCTGCTTCGAAGCTATGACAGGTACTGTTCAAGCCGTAGTCAACTTCACTAGTCGCAAAACCTGTATGCTGAAGCCTTCTGAACCGTAGTTCATTGCAAGGCTGCACCATCGTTAATCCTAAGTTTAAAATGCGCTAAGTCGCAAAGCCGATAGCCTGTAACCTTCGCATGGCAAGGCAAGATCTGAAGCTTCCACACCTGAACATCTATCTGGCACAGCCCGTAGACGCCCCTAGACAACCTAGACTCCTAGAGTGTTGTTACAGTTGCATTGACTGTTGCACCCCACCAAACTTCACATGATATGGCTATGATCACTTTTCCGAGCACGAGGGCGCACAGAGCTGCCGCCTGCCAGGGAGGCTGGGTGGCAGTGGCAGCAGCTCCTTTTGGCACATGGTTTGGTTTGTCAGGTGCTTGTGTACGGTGCGTATTTGACTTCACATGACTACGCGCTCTCTTTGGCACTGTTGCGGCTGCGATATTAGCGGGTTAGCGTCGGCGCTGTCGCGGTCATGATGATGGTTCTTGGAGTCTTGAATCATGAAGATGAGTCTCGAACATGTAAATAGTATCGGTACTGCTAGCAGCTGCTAGCATCGTTATAGTCTATCCGTTAGCACTTCAGGCAGAATTTTTCGTCTTACTCCTATGAACTATGTTATGACTCATGTTCGTGCTAGCATGGACACCAGCACTATCGCTAGCAGTACAAGGATTCAGCGTTTCTTTCACTGCTGGAAACTCATTCGGTTATTAAGGCAGTGATGGTGGTTGACCTGCATGCAATCACCGGGCATGATGCATCTAAGAGACCGGCAGACCAATGGGCCCACAGAACGGTGATGCCAGATATGCCAGGCGCGCAGCCCCCGTCCCTCACCAAGAGGAGCAGGCCAGCATGTTCTGTTGCAGAATGGGGCTGACCGTGTCTGCATGTCACTATGACGTATCCTATTTGCAGGCGGCCGTCATCCGCCGGCACGTTGAAGATTTGTGCATGCCTGTTCAAGATCAGACCCACGAATTCAGGCGTGTCTCACTCGTCGCAAAACGGCCTGCTGT